TATTTAGTTTGATGTAGACTCAATATCAAAGTCTAGGAAAGAAACGTGAAGCCGAGGTATTGTTGTGAAAGAATGTTTTACTCGCTTGGGAATAAGACAGGGGATTGTACTGCAAGTCTTTTTATGAGTGTGCCGATCTTATCCTAACCTTTGGTATTGTTGACATGACGTCAAAATTGTGATAGGGAGATGCAAGAAAATGTCAGATTGCTAAAATATGGAATCGATCTCGACTCCTACAAACAACGTTTTATTCTCATAAACAATTTAGATTGAGATTTAATCAAAACTATGTTTCTTTCATCGGAAAAGCAAGCGATATTTTCTTTCTTTTCTCAGTTGTGAGAATAATGTTGATGCTGTAAAGGATGAAACACAAGTTAGCTCATGAGATTTACTCCGTGCCTTATGTACAAGAAAATGATATCTCACACCTGTTAAAGTACAAATTCACCTGTCTAGGATAACGGAAATGTGCTTACTGCAACGAAATCTAAGCAAACGCCTCTCTTGGCGTCTGGTATCCATGTTGATCATCAGTGATGTTAGACAAAGAGACACCGTCTCGTCATAAAACACTTGGTTAATAATCAGGCTTAGATATAGATTTATTATATGCTTAATGTCAAAAGAAGTGAAGTGAATTCGAAATCATCAAAAACATAACTAAGGTATTACTTTTAAATCAGGAAAGTGTTTGAAATGTGTGGTTGTCTGGGAAGGGATAACTTCGACTCCATTGAAAAATGCGATTGTCCATTTAATAACGATTCGCAAGTTCCAATTCAAGTATTCGTGTAAAAGTTAAAAACATGAAATGTTATCCATGACCTCTCCTGTCATTGGAGGCGTGAAAACTAGGAACGGAGTGTGGTTTGGGCGATATAGACCCTATTGGTCGACGGTGTCCAGTTAGTGAACCAATGAGACGACATGTTTTATTTACACTTCCACATGCTGGTGTCCAATCAGCAAAGACATAACAAAGACGAGCATGTTTTGATGAACCATGACAAGTGACAACCAGGAATATCAAGTTGACATAGCACGAAAATTGACTTTACCGTCCGTATGACAATATTTAATCATTCCAACCCATGTACAACTCCAATTTCATAAATCCTCCTTTCCTACAGTCCCATCGGTAATTTAATTCGAAAATGGCGCTAGTTTATGAGGTTTTATTCCGCTTTCGATCATAAAATAATCTGCGTAATGGAAAGTAGCCAGGATTTGCCACCTCAACGGGAGGTAATTCTCACTACTGTAATATCGCAATACGAATAGAACTCTCTAGACGTGCAGATTATTTAATTATACTCCAGTTACCAAGACAATGCCTTACAAAGATCTTAAAGAATTGAGAAACTGAACCTACACTAGTGTTTATGCTCTTGTGAAAAAATCTCCTCATTTACCGGTTTGTGTAATTATCTGTACATGCATCAATGTGCATTGCAATAATGTACGTGGTAATTTACAGTTCTGAAACTTGCATAATAGTCCTCGAGTTTCCGTGTTCAAAACCCATAGTCTTAAACTGAGCACATTAATGGAACCTATTGCTACCCATCATCAAGAGTACCATGGGTACAGTTAGTTAATGTGGTTTCCTAAAGTACCCGATCGCTCATTATAGTAATGGCGTATCTCTCGTAAATAAAGACGAATATAGTCCCGTCCGGTTTTCCGAATGTAATATGGTCTGTTTCGGGAATTCCGAAACCTTCGAACAAAACATTTTATGGTAATGCCTATTTTACATGTCGTTTTGATATGTAGGACTGAAGATATTCTTACATGTACTGAAAGGTACCTAGTATATCGAAGTTATTCTGGTATTGGATAAAGAGTTTCTTCACTACGTCATTAAACTGATATCTTGTACATATAAATGGATGCTAACGTTTTTGTTATATATATGTGTGTGTGTTCCTAGAATACACTTTTTGCCCGATGCTTAGCAATGTCTAATCATTTCATATACAAATATGATGATTTCAGTCTGGAATTGAATATCATATTTAAATTTTTATGTTAATTGGCATCACACCTGCGATGAATAATGTTAAATCTGCATTGACTGACAGTTTTATTGTTTTATAAAATAAAACATGTTTAGAAAAGCCAGCCAAAAAAGGAACACATAAAATAGTGGTATGCAAAAATGGTAATAGAAAAAGTCTCTCTCAAGGTTAAATTATCCTTAGGAGACTTGAGACAACGGGGTCAGCATACCGCAATGTCAGTCATTGCTAAACCCAGAGGAAGTTGGTTGTAAATGTTAATAAGTAACCATTACTTATTGTTTCCTCATCCTTAGATATGTATGTAGGTAATACATTGTGATGATAAGAACAACCATATACCAAGTATTCGTAAAGGTAAAAAAAACGAACTATGTCCACCTTTGTGCACTTGAAAAGACGTGGAATAAACGTAAATGTCCGATTACTTTTAATTCACAAATGCATGCACGTGTGGTGATAAAATTTAACTACATACAAGTATGTACATGTCTAACGGTAATATCATGAACTATAGGTATACACACACGTAAGACATAATGTATAAGCTACATGCACGTGCGAATGGAGGTAAAATATGAAATAGAAACTACATGCATGCTTTCCCGAAAATGTTAACAGTAAACTATGATTATGCAGTTATGGCGATATATTTGAGCAGCGTGTACATGAGAAGGACAATTTTGTAAGACAAACAATATAGAGCACACCAATATGTCAACAGAATCATAATACACACTTAAATTCCATAAAACTGTGGCAAAATGTGGCATAAAAAGATTTACACCGAAACTCAGAAGAAGTACAGGAAGATTAAGGCCAGGTGTGCTGTAAGGGTAAGCGTCTTCTTCTTCATCGAAGACAACCGCCGCTGTGTAAATCTTGGTCAATCTAAGTAAGTAATTTCATGTTCCTACAGTAAACAACAATGGAACCAACAAGTATATTAAAAGTGATGGCTAACTATTTATACATCAACGTGTGACGAAATTAGACGATGCGCCAATCTGTTGTCGAATCACATGTACAAACGACAGTCTAATACAGGTACCGGCCACTTAATTTTACGGACAACTGTCAACCACGTGTATAGCTGAATACAGATACAAGTGCCAACTGAACCAAACATGTGTCAGTTGATAAATACAAAGGTATAAACGATGGTCAGCTAGAGATATAGTTGAAAACTTAATGTTTGAGTGACGACCAATGAGAGATAAGTTGGAAAGTAAATGTTTGAACGACGGCAAACTAGAGTGAAAAAGTTGACAATTACATATATGAATGAAGAACAGCTAGAGCCACATTTGAAATTGAAATCAGATGTAGTTGACAGTTATATGTGTAAGGTGAAAGAGAAACAAAATTGACAACAAAATGCATGAACAATGACAAGTTTGGACAGCTAAATGTGTGGACGACATTCAACGTTTGCATTGGGAAAAAAAGGAAATTTGATAAAAATGCGTTAACTAGTAGCAAATGTTACATTCGTACGACCATTCTATAAATTTACAAGGATGGTATTTATCATTCATGAAATGATAACCATTTTATGTCGTATGGGATTCTTTGATGTAAATGTATATCTTATCATTTGAAAAAGTACCAACGAGATTTGTGTCCACTTTTCACTTTATCTCAGTGCATAAATTCAAAATCATTATTTTTTCTTGGATTTGTATAAAGATTTTTTGAATTTCATACATATTGATTGTAGTATTAAACTTATTACATCAAAACGTTTATTGCAAACATATGTTTTCCTTTTTACATTTCAAACGTTTTATGAGCTTGTTTCCTTTTTCTTTTTCATTATTAATCTTTTATTTCAATATATGTATATCACATATCTAGAATATATGCTTGGTATACAAAGAACTTTTTATAATTCCTGCTGATGTTTATGGAAATCGTGTCTTATCTAGATCGAACAAGTCATAAAATATACAGATATATATTCATAAGCTTTATTTCAATTATTTATATATGTAGCTTTGTATCTTTCTTAACTTTGTTTTTTTTAATTTATTTGAACAGAGTCTTTTATTGTTGGATTATTATATTAAAATGATGATAAGATATTATTCACAGAGTTGTAAATTTAAGTCATAACTACCATTTTCCCTTTTTTTGTTTATTTAAACATAACGGTGTAGATTTATGAGTGCTTATTAGAATATATTAACTAGATAATTCATTGATATTTATTCTAAGATAAAAATGGAACACATACATTTTCACATAAAACAATTTTATTGCCATATATCAGTATAATAATTATGATAAATGATCAAAAATTCAAATTTTCTCATACAGACACAAAATTCATTTGGTTCTTTATTTTGTCAAAATCATCATAAAACATGATACATCTATTGTAAAAACTTTAAAAAGTCGTCGTATACGGTTTATTTTTCATGACGTAACTTTAAAAAATTGCATTGATTTTTGACATGCAATGGTATAAGCATGGGCCATTTATCGATTAATTGATATATTTATATATCTATTTTGATTTTAATTTATTAATCATTTAATCGCTTAATCATTATTATTGCATGCAACAAAACGATTTGTATCATCTATCTATTTTTTAAAAATCTGCAACTAGATACGAACAATATTGAATTGTATTTGTACTATATTGTGTACGCTTCTTCTATAATGTGTAACTAACCTTGTGTGGCGCGCAGTTTCATAATCATGTAATAGTGATGATAAAACAAAGCAATTTACACGAGTTATCTCCCGTAGTAACGTATTTCATTAATTGTGTTATTTCACTTGATCGAATTGCTGTAGCTTATGAAGTACTCGTAATGTGAGGTCAAAGTTTATTTATAGATGAAAGTGACGTGATATCTTTATCATTAATGAGATGTGCATTTCATACCGAGAAATAAATATCTTTCCCTAGCATTTCTTTTTAAAGAAGTGCATTTACTAAACACACACCAAAAAAAAGGTAAATAATCCAAAAAGATTGACACCATTTTATTGAAGAAATACGACTATCACCAAAATGTTATGACAAGTTATTACAATTGATATTTCAAGATGATTTTATCAATTAATGATTAAGGAAAAACACAATTCAATTACTGATAAAATCTCACATCATTCCATCAAATTTTTACCATTTCGTTTGACCAAATTAAAACATATGCATCTTCATAATACAATAATAAAAAAAATCTGCGTTAGGTCATAAGTCATAAGTATGTCAAACTTTCTACAGGTAACTTAATACAGTCTATACTCTCTTATATATTATACTTGACATCAATCAATCTTAAATATTGGTTTGTAAAGGAAACAAATTCAAACATCGAATAAAATATCCTAGTTGTTCTAGTTGTTTCGGTTTCCATGTGTTTTATATTACACTATTTTGGCAACCATTCCCTCCCGAGGGAGACCAATTTATTACGACCCGTCGGACCAGGTGATCGGTTTCCTCTAACGACGACTGTGGTCAGTTTTACGGGGTGTTTATGACTCCACCTGGACATCGTAATTACGCATGTCTTAGTCTAGCCAATAACACTCGGATCCTTGATTAAATCATCGCCTCGTTCCACAGGTGCGAGTCCAACACGGCATGAAATTGTCTGGTCAAGTTAGCGTACAGAAGTACCGATTTTCTCCTGGTATTTGTGAGCTCTTGGTGAATATATTCTTTATCATATTTATTGAACATACAATATCTGTGAATTATAATTTTGAGATAGTGAGTTGAAGTTAAGTAAGCATGCACATGAATATATTAGATGAGGTTCAAAAAACTAAATGAGGTTTACTAGTAAAGTACTTAATTTTCCATCTACAGAAACCATTTTTAAACAACAATATCCATTTTTTTCATTAATATCGTTAACAACGGTATTGTTGATGTCGGAAATGTCTTGATTTAACCGTATGTCCGTATCTTTGAAATTCAAAATCCTGCCGAAGCAATATCGACAATTTTTTTACTACCACAACACGTTTTTAATGCACACTGTTACATTGTTGTTGTGTGCTGTTTTCCAAAGTATCCAATTAGGCAGGAAAGGAGTGTTACTTCATCTGTTGAAATAATTCCTTGCCAAGTAGGTCAGACAATACGCCAGTTGCACCGCTTCAATAGGTTATATTTACACACTGTTACGCTGTTGAGAGTTGCAAGAGCAGTAACGCATTTCGTTGTAAAAGAAGAACGATGGATGACGTTGTAAATGAGTCTTTGCATTGTTAATTGTTATTAACTATCCGACAATCATTCACTCTTCAACGTTAGCTTCAATATTTTATTTCAGAACAAAGAAATAAATGTTTATAGATTCCATCCATGTATTCTTGAGTGATTTCTACTGCCCTGGACGCTGTGTGGGTCTGGTCCTACGTCACCTGCGAACAGAGTGCAGAAACATATACATTTATTGGAGTGTTTCCTGCTAGATGCAGTATCAGAACAGAGAGTTAGTTTCGGACCTTCATTTGCTATTTGGGCGAGGTGAAGTCAAGATGGTCGTGTTTAGAGAGGTCGAGGACGAGTCGAGATAGTGATGTTTCGAGAGGGCAAGGCGAAGCGGTGATAACCATGTTTCGAGAGGGTTGGGTGAAGTCGTGACAGTCATTTTTAGAGCGGCCGGTGTGAAGTCGAAACAGTCGTGATTATCGAAAACAAGATGAGACCAAGATACTCATATCTAGAGAAGATAGCCATGATTATAGTGGGTGAGGCAAAGTCATGATAAAAGGCAAGGCGAAGTCAAGATTGATGAAATCATGCTTATGTGGGGACAATGCGAAACTAAGATAGTCAAGTCAATAGGGACAAGACGAAGCTGGGAAGTCAGGTTTACAGAAGGCGAGGCGAAACCGAGATAGTCAAGTTTGTAGAGGACATTCGATACAAAAATAGTCTGGCATTCAAAGGCAAGAAGAAGTCGAAATAGTTAAGTCTAGTTTGTGTAAGGACATGCCGAAGGGCATGGCGAGATAATCATGTTTATCAGAGAACAAAGCGAAACCGAGATAGTCATATTTATAGGAGGCAAGGCGAAACCGAGATAGTCATATTTATAGGAGGCAAGGCGAAACCGAGAAAGTCATATTTATAGGAGGTAAGGCGAAACCGAGATAGTCATGTTTATAGGAGGCAAGGCGAAATTGAGATAATCAGGTTTAAAGGACCAAACAATGCAGAGAAGATGTAAGTTACAGACCGAAGACGAGAATCCTTCTCCATAAACCTAGAGACCACTCTTTTTCCGATTCCCGAAAAATTCTGAACATGAAATTATTTAATTTAATCACTGAATTATCACTACACCGTGAACATAGAGAAATGGTGGCGATTTAGACATTTACAATTAAACTTAAAGTTAAAAGTGTAACAATCTATCAAATACGACACAAACCAACATATTCTATATTCTTTAGGAGTTTAAAATTTCGAAGTGACGTACATTGTATACCCCTACACGACATCGACAGCCTTATAGGCTTTCACATGTACTTGTTGTCAACAGGGATAAACATATTTCATTTGCAGCCGACTTTGAGGAGGAATGGGTGTGGTCAGAGCTCGGTATATTTATCTTCTTACATATATGGCCTCAAATTTATTTCATATCGCACATCGGGCTAATGAAAATCATACTGACATATTCGATAGAATTAGCTATGGTTATCAACTGTATCCGCAATATAGGACCTTATGTGAGAAATAATATACTATTTTAATATGACAGTGGAAATATACTTAATTTTTTAAATCTCATATTGCTTCTATCAGATACATATTTACTTTCGGCGTCAACGTATTAAATATGTATTATTACTACTACTACGTATATAGGAAGTTATGACACCAAGTATGTCGTTAGTAAGGTGATATTGATTTTGAAAAATTGGTAATAAGTTAGAAGGCACGGATGCAATTATAATGTTTAACAGGTCATGCTCATACTATACATAGATGTTAAGATACGATACAAAAGAAAATCATTTTGTTGGATTGTCATCAAAAAAATAAGTGAAACGTTATTCCCTGTTGAAATTTACATTGATATATTCAAAGATGAATCTAAAGTTGCAGTAGCATTTATATCAATTTAGAATCAAATGTTTGGTTAGCTGGAAGCTATACAAAAGTGATATACTACTCAGAGAAACCTACTACAAATAAATTTTCATAATTTCCTTGCGTTTGTGATATTTAACTCACCTGTCATTTCTTTTGAGTAAATGTAATAATTTTTACGACAAAGATATCATTTCTACTTTTTTAAGTAATATTATTTTTTGAGAAATGTTTCCTTACTTTGGTAAAATGAAATGAAGCGGGAATCATTCGATACGTTTGTTGACGTAGTAATTATGAAGAGAGCAAACAGATACACAGATACAGAAACTAAATCGTTTTAACGGAAGTTGCCATGTCTGTATAAACTATGAAAAAGTATGCCAGCCATTACGGAAGATCTTTAAGTGACTTCTGCCCCTTTAACACTTTGTACTTTCTACTGACGTACACAGCCGTGAGTGGCAAGTTAGATGTCAGACCGTACTCTCTATACCCACAGCGTAAGAAACTTCTCGGGAAGGAGTTGACAGGCTATACATTCGCCACAATCTTACACCATTTGGGGCAATAAAACTGTGCCATATACAATCAAGGGGGTAGAATGATCGGATGTGGCACTCGGTTCGATTAATGAGCCCTACTCGCCTCATCATCTCTGACCAATTAGAGCACAAAGACAGACCTGTCACATGTGTCACTTAAATTCTTCATCCACCATTTAAAAATCTAAATGGCCGCCATAAATCCGGAGCCGCAGACGACAGCGTTGGGCCCGGGCTGCCACCCATGGTTGCGAACACGGAGACATCTGACTCGCCAAGAAGGTAACGTGGCGATCCCTATGCAGGTGCTTCTAGGACCTGGAAGGGTACTGCATACCGAATCCCTGTTTTTGGAAACATTGAAGATAGGCGATGATTTGTTACAATAATCAGAACTATTGATGCAGAGTGCTTCCTTGCCAACCCGTTCCGGACAATGAGTACACAAAGAACGTATCATATACATATAGGTTGTGTTTCAATGCCATTAAGACTTCATTCCTTATAACGTATATGAGAAGAAATGTGTTTTAGTAATATCAGATGATTTTGTGTGTATTAGTATATGAGATGGAGCTTGCATCATTTTAGCACTAAGTGTATGCGTTTTTTGGCAGAATGTTGGAGCTGGAGGTTAAGACATCTTATCAATATGTACAAATGATTTACCTGGCTCAGTGACAAAAGGTCACAACACTGTATCACTCTGTATATATAGGTACTTTGTCTAAGTGACGAAGGTCACAACATTGTATCATTCTGTATATATAGGTACTTTGTCTAAGTGATGATGGTCACAACACTGTATCACTCTGTATATATAGGTACTTTGTCTCAGTGATGAAGGTCACAACACTGTATCACTCTGTATATATAAGTACTTTGTCTCAGTGATGAAGGTCACAACACTGTATCACTCTGTATATATAGGTACTTTGTCTCGTCTCAGTGATGAAGGTCACAACACTCTGTCACTCTGTATATATAGGTACTTTGTCTCAGTGATGAAGGTCACAACACTGTATCACTCTGTATATATAGATACTTTGTCTCAGTGATGAAGGTCACAACACTGTATCACTCTGTATATATAGGTACTTTGTCTAAGTGATGAAGGTCACAACACTGTATCACTCTGTATATATAGGTACTTTGTCTCATTGATGAAGGTCACAACACTGTATCACTCTGTATATATAGGTACTTTGTCTCAGTGATGAAGGTCACAACACTGTATCACTCTGTATATATAGGTACTTTGTCTAAGTGATGAAGGTCATAACACCATATCACTCTGTATATATAGGTACTTTGTCTAAGTGATGAAGGTCATAACACCATATCACTCTGTATATATAGGTACTTTGTCTCAGTGATGAAGGTCACAACACTGTATCACTCTGTATATAAAGGTACTTTGTCTCAGTGATGATGTTCACAACACTGCATCACTCTGTATATATAGGTACTTTGTCTAAGTGATGAAGGTCACAACACTGTATCACTCTGTATATATAGGTACTTTGTCTAAGTGATAAAGGTTACAACACTGTGACACTCTGTATATATAGGTACTTTGTGTCGTTTCGGTGATGAAGGTCACAACACTGTATCACTCTGTATATAAAGGTACTTTGTCTCAGTGATGAAGGTCACAACACTGTATCACTCTGTATATATAGGTACTTTGTCTCAGTGATGAAGGTCACAACACTGTATCACTCTGTATATATAAGTACTTTGTCTCAGTGATGAAGGTCACAACACTGTATCACTCTGTATATATAGGTACTTTGTCTCAGTGATGAAGGTCACAACACTGTATCACTCTGTATATATAGGTACTTTGTCTCAGTGATGATGGTCACAACACTGTATCACTCTGTATATATAGGTACTTTGTCTCGTCTCAGTGATGAAGGTCACAACACTGTATCACTCTGTATATATAGGTACTTTGTCTTTAGTGATAAAGGTCACAACACTCTGTCACTCTGTATATATAGGTACTTTGTCTCAGTGATGAAGGTCACAACACTGTATCACTCTGTATATATAAGTACTTTGTCTCAGTGATGAAGGTCACAACACTGTATCACTCTGTATATATAGGTACTTTGTCTCAGTGATGAAGGTCACAACACTGTATCACTCTGTATATATAAGTACTTTGTCTCAGTGATGAAGGTCACAACACTGTATCACTCTGTATATATAGGTACTTTGTCTCAGTGATGAAGGTCACAACACTGTATCACTCTGTATATATAAGTACTTTGTCTCAGTGATGAAGGTCACAACACTGTATCACTCTGTATATATAGGTACTTTGTCTCAGTGATGAAGGTCACAACACTGTATCACTCTGTATATATAGCTACTTTGTCTACGTGATGAAGGTCATAACACTGTATCACTCTGTATATATAGGTACTTTGTCTCATTGATGAAGGTCACAACACTGTATCACTCTGTATATATAGGTACTTTGTCTCAGTGATGATGGTCACAACACTGTATCACTCTGTATAGATAGGTACTTTGTCTCGTCTCAGTGATGAAGGTCACAACACTGTGACACTCTGTATATATAGGTACTTTGTCTCAGTGATGAAGGTCACAACACTGTATCACTCTGTATATATAGGTACTTTGTCTCAGTGATGATGGTCACAACACTGTATCACTCTGTATATATAGGTACTATGTCTAAGTGATAAAGGTCACAACACTGTATCATTCTGTATATAAAGGTACTTTGTCTCGTCTCAGTG